CTTATGTTTTAATGTCTTATTTTTACTATTTGATGAATATCTTACTTGATATTCATTACTTATTATTCCACCTAATCATTCAATAACATCAAATCCGATACTTTGCTTATCTCTATGTTTACAACACCTAAACATTTTAAAATCGTATCTTTTATTACATTTTTAATTACTTATAATATATTAGTTTATTAATAATTGAAAAATAAACATAAAAAAATCTTTATATAAAAATATTTGTATTTATAATTTAATAATTTACTAAATCATATTAAAAAAAACTAAAAAAAAACTAAAAAAAAACTAAAAAAAAAAACTTTTTACAAATAGAACCGATTTATAAAAAGAAAAAAAAATAATAACTAAAAAAAAAATTATTCATTATTTTCGTTATCTAAAAAAAAAATTAATTTAATATTATTAATATTTATTATTTCATAAATTTAATTTACCTGCATCATCTTTGTTATCATCATCATCATCATCATCATCATCATCGTCATCATTATCATTTAAATATTGTGAAAATTCGAGTATTAATTCATCTTGAATATTTTGACATTCATTTCGTTTTTTATAATTAAAAATTCGATAACTTTTACTAATTTCACAATCAATACTATAAATTTTATTTTCTTTGATTTTTTTTAAATTTTTTGGATCATAATAAAATGTGTATTTATTTGGATAAGAAATTAAAAAAAAATTGCATCCACTAAAAACATATTTATTCTTTTTATTTGTATCATCTCTACATAATATTCCATAAAGGAGTTGGCATAATTTCATTATTTTTATCATAAAATAATAATTTTGCATTATTATCTTCATTTGTAGTTTCGACTTTAATCTTAAAATCAAGACCAAAAAAATCTTGAATATCATGATCATAGATTATTTTGTTTTTAGTTTTTTTGATACTCAACGCACTTGTAGCCATCATGAATATGAAATTTTGAATATCAAATAATTTCTCCATTATATTCAATTTTTTTATATAAAACAAATATAATTTAAATTTAGTATTGATAAATATTTGTTTATTTACGTTGGGGTGTTTTATAATTTTTAGTTAAAAGCAAATTTTGGGGTGTTTTATATTTTGAATAAATTTTAAAATAATTATTAATAGATTGTTACATAAGCATGCATATTATTAAATACTTTATTATTTTTTTCAACCTATTTTTAATTATTTAAAAATCATCATTTATATATTAATGATAATGTTGTGCATCTAAATAATAATAAAATAAAAAAACTACGTAAATTAATATTTAATCATCATGTGTGCCAATCCAGAATAATTGATAATTAAATATCTAACTACTCCGGCTCGGCATACGTGATTATCAAATTATATTATATAATAAATAAGAAAAAAAAATAAATTATTCTATTATTAAAATTATTAAATATTGATATTTAAATATTTATTATTAAAAGTTTTTCTAAAATATGTTTGATATTTTGTTTGGAATTGATTTAATTCGAACTGTAAAGTAATAGTATTTGAATTCCAAGAAATATATAAACCATCTTTATCATGAACTTTGGTGTATTTTAAATAAATATATCCAATTAATACACCACATAAAAGACTAATTAAACATATGAAAATAGTTGAATCATTTTCTTGTATTTGAGTCATCTTCTAAATCTAAAAAGTAATAAAAAAATATAAATGATATTTTTATCATAACATAATTCTGATATAACATCAAGTGAATATCTATACCAAATATCTATTGTTTTCATCATAACCTCTTTCAAGTGATAGACGATTATGACAGCGTTACAACAACAGATAAATGCTAAAAAATATAATTTAGTGAAAACTCACATATTATTTTCTGTTAATTTTTCGGTATCGGAATTAATACATCATTCTTTTTTAAACATTTTTTTAACATTTTTTATTATTAATCGAAATATAAAAATATAAAGATCGATTAAATTAATTATTATCAAAATATAAGTACATTGAGATAAAACTAAAAAATCCATTCTTTTTAATTATTCAACTTTAAATACATTTAAAAAAAAGTTTTTTTTTGTATTTATAAATATTTTATCGATTAAATTTATTATTAATTAAAAAAAATTATAGATCATCAATTTCATTTAAGATTTTTTGATAAACACAATAATACTAAAATAAAAATTTTTTAGTTTAAAAAAAAGAATATTCTATATAAATTAAATTATAAATAATAAAGAAAAAAACAATTCGTAAACATAATTTAATTTATAAAGATCATCAAATGTAACACACTGATATTATTGATAAATCATATATGAGATAAACTTTATTTATAATAATGATTAATAATGTGATACAAAATATAAAATAAATAAATATAAATACAAACAACTTATTAATAATTAAAATTAATAAGCAAGAAATTCTTTGTTGTATTTTTCCAAATCTGTTAATGTCCAAAAATATTTAACTTTAAATTTTTCACAATATAAATTTATTTCATAAAACCAAATTTCAAAATCATTCTCGTAACTTCGACATCGATGTTCTTTCAAATCTAAAGTATTGTTTTGTATAAAATAATTATATCCTTCACTAAACATATGAAAATAACTATTGATTTGTGCTTCAAGAAAGCTAATAATGCTTTTTAGACGTTTATTTTGTTTAATAATATTTTCTTTATTCAAATATTCTTTAAACATTTTATAATTAGTATATATTTTATATTCACTAATTTCAATAACATTAATTTGATTTTCTTGTTCAATGATTGGTAAAGCAAATTCAAAAGAGTTTTTTTTATTGATTGTTGACCAAGTAGATTGAATTTCATTATTCCAATCATCATTCCAAAAATCTTCTTTATTGCTCTTTGAAAGCTTTTGAATTAGTTTCTTGAAGAATTTCATTTTTTTTTCGACAATCGATAAAAATTTTTGGATTGTTACATATGCAGATAGATTATTAAATATGTTATTTTAGTATTCTTGTAACATCTTGATTTGTACATATTAAAAAGAACGATTTGAAATTGGTATTCTGTAAACAAAAGATTATCATATCCATCTACCCCAGATGTTGGGAATAGAATAAAACATAGAATTCTTGTTCAACAAAATGATTATTAATATAAAATAGATAAGGTTAATATGGTAATCTGTGTAATAAACTTAAAATTTGTTTATCGTAATCATTTTGGATTATTGTATCGTAAATGTGATAAATGGTAAAATATTTAAATAAATTATGAAATACTTGAAAAAAAATAACCATTATTTTTGTATCAAATAAAATATAAAAAATCACATCCAATGAAATAATCTATTATGATCCTGTGAAAAAAAGAAAAACAACAAAGAAAACAAAAATCTATTCTATCAATTCTCAAAAAAAATTTAGTATTCATAATTTTAGAAAAACTAGTAAAATATTAAATAATGAACATTTAAAGAGAGAAAAAAAGGAAACAAAATGATTAGATAATGCAATTAATAATATTGTATCAGATCTTAATGATAGTGAACATGATGACGAAGATTCGGATGAAGATATGGATTAAACGAATTTTTTTTTATATTAATTATCTTATAGTTTATTTTTTTTATATAAATTATTATTTGTAAATCAAACAAATCATATAATTGTTTTTAATTTATCTAAATAAAACATTTATTTATTACTAATCACAATAATAAACATTTAACTATATATTTCATTCATATTTATTTATCATTTTATATTTATTTGTTTATCTGTTTATCTGTTTATCATTTACCAATAAAAACTTATCGGGTTTTATCATATGCGGAAGTACAATCCGTCACATCTTTGGTTTTTTTAAAAGAATTATCATCTAAAAAAAATACATATTATTAAAACGGATTCCTTCCCTTTCTTCATAATTATTAATTTCATCATATAGGTTTTAAGAAAAAAAATTAGATAAGATACTCACAATGTTATTACTACCAACAATATTTTTTTGTTGTTGAATGTCTTTAAAGCAAAGACAAAAACAAAATAGAAAGAAAATACAAAATAAAAAAATCATTGTGATTGATTGAAAAAATATCCATAATCTTTGATTGGATTCAATGATATTTTTGTAAATATTCGTATTTTCTTGTACAATAATAATTTGCTTAGTATCTGAAGGCATATCTAAGGAAAAAAATAATTAAAATCTGTAAAATTTATCAAATCCAAATTCAATACTTACTTTCGAATCTTAATTAAAACCCATTTTTAATATTTTACACATCATCGTATTTTTATGTTAAAATTATTTATTAATAAAATAGTATTCAAATTAATAATTAAAATACAAAATATAATTGATAATGATATAAACAAATAAATTTTAAAATAAAGATATTAATAATGATACTGTTGTACAAAATATTTATTAAACTAAATTATTATCTAAAAAAAACCCTGAAATTTCCGTTAATCTTTGTAATGCCTAAATCGATATTTCCATCATTTACTTCTATTGAACTAATCTTATTATGATAAACATTATTTTGAACATCCGTAATACTATTTTCTTCTACATCTTCCATGATCTCAATTCTACATTCTTCGTTAGAATTAATCTGTTTTAATAGATTATATTCTTTTTCTATATTTTCATGACTTTCTTTTAATCTTTCATTACTTTCTTTTAATGTATTATAATCCATCATTAATCTTTCATTAAAATCTTTGTATTCTTTAACTTTAATTTCTAATTCATTAATCTTTTTTTGTTTATTGGTTTGGTATACTCGTTGTGCAACACGATTATTATATGCTTTTTTATTTTCTTGTGCAAGTTTATCATCATTATTTGCAGGTTTTCTTCCAGCATTTTTTCTATTGTTAGGTTTTTTAATAATTTCAAGTTCATTAGTTGATAATTCTTTTGGTAAAACATTTCGTAAGTTTTTATTTAGAATTTAAAGTTCATCATCTTCATAAGAAGTCATTGGTGTCATTGGAGTCATTGGCATTGGAGTCATTGGGGTGTTTGAAGGAGCATTCATTGTTAAATGAGACATTTTAGTATCTTATGAAGATGATTTTAATTTTGTTGAAAGAAATATCGAAAAGGAGAATTTTATAGAAATTGTTATTAATAATAGCAGATTAATTTTTATTTATCGATTATTAATAATCTTGTTCAATATTAATAAATATATATAAAATTCATTAATAATATTCATAACTTTATAAACAAACGATTTTATTCAATTACTAAGTAAAAATGTCTGAAAATCAATGTTGTATTTGTTTGACTGAAATCAATTATAGATATTGTTTACCCTGTAAACATGTCTATCATAAAACTGCATCAAAAAATGGTTAGAAAATGAAACGTCAAAATTCTGTCCTTTGTGTCGTGATGGTATAGACGATGAAGATAAAAAAATCATCTATAACCAAATTGAAAATAATCTTTTTTTAAGAAATAAAAGAAAAAGAAAAGAAGAAAATACACTTGAAAAAGAATTTTCTAAAAAAATAAAAACTCTAGAAAAAGAAGAAGATGAATCATTAAAAAAAATAAAAAAAGAAATTAAGAATAAGAAACAAGAACTTAGAGATGAATTTAATATTAAACTAAATAATATTAAATTAGATGAAATTGAATTAACTGCTGATGTTCTTAAAAATATTGACGATAAAAAAAATATTTTATTAAATAAAAGAAAAGCATTATTGAATCTGATTGAAAAAAAATATGAATTATGATACAAGTCCATTTAGTAATTTATTATTAATAGCTATAGAAAATTCTAGTATA